GAGACAGATGACTCCAGGACAGTGTTAAGAGGCTGTGGAGGGTTTTCCCTGAGAAGGACATTGCAAGGGAGCTGCCTAAGATTGTGGCTGGCGAAGACCACCCAGCTGCGGGAGGTGACACAGGTGACTGCTGACTTCAAAAAATTCTATCTTCACGTGGGATCTAAAGCTTCTTTCAAATGGTGTAGCCTCTAAGTGTGGTAAAGATTTTGGGTTTTTTGTTTAGTCTCCTGTCTGCACCCCTGCACCACTTTGGGGCAGAACAAAGATGATTTTATTATGTTGTGGAAACATTTAATAAAGAAATCCTTCATCCATATGTGTCAAGTATTGCCTATAGAGTAAGTTAATAATGCCCTAAAATTACTTTTGCTACTTTAAAAAATGTATATAGGGGCTACTGGGACTAATGAAATATTCATTTAAGAGCATTTTTGTCTTGATATATCCCCTCTAGGGATTCCAAAAGAACAATGACTATTCTGTTTTGAGGAGGTGTCTGCAAAACTTGTAGACCTCACAAGGTACTTCTTTTGTCCTCTGCCAGTGCTTAGCACATGGCCTGGCACTTAGGTGTACGATAAATAGATGGTGTGGGGCTGTGTCCCAGAGCTCATGCACACATCTCACCCTGATCCTGTAGGATTGCATGCAATTCCCAGTGTCCAGCATCTGCCGCAGGCCACTCTCAGGGCAGCTGGCATGATGATATTGGGGGTAGGGGCACCGTGAGGCCTGGAGCACGTGGCCTTTTTCTGCCCCCATTCTCGGAAGCATGTGAGGGTCCTGCTAGATTGAGTCACCAGGAATTAAAGTTTAGCACAGTGTAGTGCCCTAGAGATGCAGGGATGTTATCAGAGGATCCACTTTCAGTCCTGGGCCAGGCCTCTTGATTAAAAGGAATGAGCCGGTGGATGTAGTGACTAATGCCTGAGGATAAGCCAGGGTCTCACTCTTGCAGAGTTTCAGCCCCCTCCTTGGCTGAGGAGCCCAGGTCGGCAGATTGTCTGGGTTAGACATCAAAGAACTACCTTTGGAATCTGTTTCCTGACTTGGCCATCCTCCCGCATGGGTCCCATCGGGTGGAAACAGTGACTGTGTCTGTAAGTGAGAGCTCAGAATTTGAGAAGGACCCTCTTATGCACAGTCTCGGTGGGAGAGGGGCATGAGATCATTTTGTTCCCATGTTAGTTCCTGAAACCCTTTGTCCTTCTGGAATTGGCAGGCCCTGACTTTCCCTGAGCTCTTAGTAGTGGTTTCCCTGTAAAGCTATTGTTTTGAGTCAATCAAGAAGAATGTTGGGCTTGCATGTGCGTGTGTGTGCTCGAACGCACGCACGCGCACACACACACACACACACACACGAAAGCCATGCCCATATTGAGCTCAGGAAAGACAGCAGAATCCAGTGACATGTTTTACTTTTGAGGAAGGTGACACATTAGAGAGTGGGTTTTGTATTCTTAATGTGGTTTTTACTTTTGTACACTGTAGACTTGAGCTAGGAGAAGAGCAGAAGAGACTTTGAGCAAGAGATGAGGGACTAACATACTTCCTTCATTAGGCATGTGCTGCTCCTGTGCTTCAGCCCTGCACTGGGTATGAGGTACAGCCTATCCAAAACCAGGTGAAAATGTTGTTTGATGTCATAGAGCCAGTTTTTGGCTGTTGTAACTAAATAAAAATGACAGCTTTTTCTACTAGTGAGATTACAAAAAGTTGTTTGGATGACATGCTCTTGCTCAAGTTATTAGGAAAGCAGCGTGCTTGTCTTATTTGGTCGATAATATTGGTAAGTGTGGGAGGGGCGAGGCATCGAGATGCACTGGTCATGTCTGCATGCCTTTACCCTGTTGCTCTGGCCAGTGGATGGCCTGACCATTTATTGAATAAACAGAATTCTCATGAGGAATGTTTGTGTGCAGCTGAGGACGGACGTGGCCCAGTGTTCCTCCAGTCTCTGCAGAAGTGTCTTGTTCTTTGTTCCTTTGCTAGCTGTTAAGGATAACTTAATGAGATTGTTCCTGGTAACAGAACGTACCTCAGGAAATAGGCCTGCAGAGCGTGTAAGAGGAAAGAGCATTGGGTTCGCAGAATCCCACATTGCTTTTCCCAGACTGATGGGCAGCGTCGGAGATCTGCGTGGCATTAGCCCAGAGCACAGGACTGTCCCAGGGTGTGGACTTTAAAAATGAAAATGTATTTATAGAGGGTTCTCTGGGGCCAGACTTCTCACTGTTCCTTGTCAGGCCGCACCCCTTGACAAGCTCTGGGCTCATGTCAGTTTTATTGGTGAGTCTTAAACTAGGGCTGAGAAGAATTTCAAGAATAACTCTTGGAGGTCCCTGTCACTGACAAATCTTTTTTTAATGCTTTATTGTGATATGCATACAGAGAGTATATAAAATGTATAGGTATAGTTTAAAGAGTAAAATGAATTCCCATGGAGTCAACAACCCGTTTATAAATATAAACTTAGCTTCCCATCCCCTCAGAGGTGACAAACATTTCAACATTTTGTTTTAGCTGATTTTTGCTTTTCTTAATTCTAGTACCTGTGTGTGCATTTCTTGACAACATGTACATTTGCTTATCATTATTTTAGTTGTGAAAAACTGGATACCAAGCACAAACCTAGCTTTGTAAGGGAAGGTCCCTGTTGAAATGGCGAGATGAAGGGTCCCAGGAGGAGCAGAGGGCTAGAAAAGAGTTGGGGGCTTTATTAACTGAAGAGTCCTTTTCTCACCATCAGTGTTACAATAAGCCACTTTCCTCACTGGTCCCACACACTTTCCTTGTGTGTCCCTTTGTAAATGGGGTTGCCATTCACAACTCCATTTACAAAGGGATTGTAGGAGGTTCAAAGAGAATTATAAAAGAAGACTCCTTATAACATGTTAATTTAGCAGGGGTCCTTAACATGAGATACAGAGCAAAATTCCAGGGAGCTCATGAATCCCTGGAAACTGAATGCATAACTTTCTCTATGTTCTCCTTTTGGGTGAAAGGGCCCATCATATTTTCAGAGGAGCATGTGACCCTACTCTACCCTCTTACCTCCTCAATAAGAATAAGGAATAATCTGGACATTATGGTAGGGTTTTTTGATTTTGTTTTTTAAATAGATCCTGGGACTGTTGAAGGTTCGAAATACACTTGGTTTGCCCACATCAGAGTCTTGGTTGGCTTCTTAGTTTGAGAATGTCTAACTGTTGAAAGACACTGAAATGAGCAGTATCTTATACCCTGACTTGTTGGGGTGGAATCCTTGGCCATGCTGTGGATGGTCTAGCAGCCTCTGCATTTTTTCTGAAATCTGCATCTGCCTCTCTTGACCCAGAATAACTAGAATGTGAAATGGAAAGAAAAAAAAAAAAAGAAAAAGAAAAAAACTGGAACGGTTGCTGTAGTTTCAAAACAAATGACCTCATCTGCCTAAATTCTACTTTATGTAAGAGAAACCCTAACTTTTACCTTATAAATAATAATGGACCTTTGGGGAAACAGATCCAAATACCATTTAGTGAGGGTGGGGGCAGATTTGTCACTGCTGGAGTGAACTCCCTAGAGACAGAATGCAACCATTGTTAGGCCAACTTAGTTGTAGTTTCCTAAGAGATATGTTCATTTAAATTTATGATGACCGATATTCCCTTCTTCAAAGTAGGCAAGTAATTATACTTTGCATAAGCCGACTTCATGTGAAGTATTTTCAGTTCTATTCCAGAAGTGTAAAGGAATTTTAGAATTTTGTAGTTGAAGGACACCTGAGGTTTATGTGGCCCACGCTCCTCAGTTTACAGGTGAGCTGGCTGAAGGTCTCCAGGGTTAGGTGCGATGAGCCCCAGCTTGCATCGATTTGTCAGGCCAGCTGGAACTAGCATCCAGGAGGAAGAGGCAACTGTTTAAATGATTATGTTTAAATACGTAATTAGATGAAGATTTAATAAAACAGCCAAACCATAATCAGAAGCCTTGTTTCCTAGAGAATTAGCATTTTGATCATCCATTCACTTCGCCAGAATGAAACAAGGGCAACAGTCTTAGGCTACCAACCTTTGAAATGTACTAAAGTCTATGATCTTAGAGGGTTTTCTGGGAGGGGTTCTGGTCTGGGGGTCTGTAAACCTGATGTATGGAAAAGTTTTCCTTCTCGCTCTGTGGTGTTCTTTACATCTCGTAAATTCAGATTTTTTTAAAAAGTCTTTAGGTTTTCCGTCTAACTTTTTTTGATTTTTCTCCTGCTCAAATGTGAATAGTTCTGTTTCTTCTTTAACTTTGTTTTTGAAGAAAACCAGGAGTTTCAGTTTGGCTGGTGCAAGTTTTTTGGGATTAAGGAGAGAGAACTAGAGGAACGGTTAAGATTTGGAACTGCAGGCTGCTCTGTCTCTTCTTCTCAGTTAAGAGCCAGACAGAATAAGAATAACATTTGCTTAGAACTGAGTTTTCTTAGGAAGGTAATTTGCAGGTAAAAGTTAAGCTTTATAGACTTGATTCTGCAATTCTGTTTCTGGCCTTGCCATTCCTCGCTGCTAATTTTGGGCAAGGCCTGTCTTCTGAATCTTGGCTTTTCTCGTCTGTAAAAAGAGAGGCTTGGACCTGATTATTTCCAAGGGCCCTTTGCAGCCATATGTCTGGACTCCACGTTGGGGGATTTGCAGGGAGAGACTGCTCCAGAGGTGCTGCTGGTGGGATGCTGTCCCTTCCCAAAATTGAAGGCAGAGGGATTGCCAGCTGTGTCTCTGCAGTGCTCTGAGACCTCTAACCCTATGTGACATTTTCCTTTTCCACTCTTGTTATTATCTGAAGCCCGTGTGCCTGTACTGACCCATGTCATTTGTGTCTTCTCTGCCAGTGTGCTGCTGCAGGGTAACATCTGGACTGGGCTCCCTGCCCCTCGGATGCTCAGCTGCCCATAAGTTCCTGTATCAACTTGCTGAAGACAGTGAGTAGTCTCCTCCTTTCTACTTGACAAGCGACTCTCAACCTGTGGATTCTCTGCCCCTCGGATGCTCAGCTGCCCATAAGTTCCTGTATCAACTTGTTGAAGACAGTGAGTAGTCTCCTCCTTTCTACTTGACAAGCGACTCTCAACCTGTGGATTCTCAGGGTTGGAGGGGTTGTGGCCAGTGTTACAGAGTCTAACCGGGTCTGGCTGCTGGACCCCTTCCCTCTACAGCCAGCCTCTCTCACACCGAGGAGGTGGCAGCTGTGACTTCAGGCATGGCTTTTCTGTCCCCCCGCAGCAGTCATAATGTTCGTGGGCCTTCTGAATCTGCCTCCTTGGAGCTTCTTTGTTCCATGGCCAGAGCCAAACATACAATTGCTGATGCTCTTCTAAGCCGTGTCATTCAGTCCCCTCTTTCACAGTTCTCCAGCCACAGTGGCCGTTCTTTACTGGCTTGCGGGAAAACACTCTTTATGGTGACAAATGCAGGTGCCTGCCCTCACCTTGACATCCGCTTCCCTGATGTGTGCCTCCTTGCCCATCGTGTTTCATTGCCACCCCCTGTCGAGAGGCCTTATCTGACCACCTTATTTAAATAAGTGTGCCCCTACCCCCAGGTGTTTTCTCTCTCAGCTCCTTGCTCGCATATTTCTTTGCACTTGTGACAGGATAGGTCTGTTCAGTCAGTTGATAGATGGCCTGTTCATCTGTTTATTCATTCAACACATATTTGTTGAGTATTTACTATGTTCCAGTGGCTAAGATGGGCACAGTCTGTGCTGTCATGGAACTTCCAATTCACGAAGAAAGATGAGATCAAGTAACAACCTAAGTAAACTATCACAACCCCTAACTGGGTAGACTGCTTTGTTCCAAACACGCTGAAGCAGTGCCACCTAGGCATCTTGTTAAAACATGGTTCCTGATTCAGTAGGTCTGGGTGGGGCCTGAGGTTCTGCCCTTCTAACCAGTTCCAGGTGATGCTGATGCTGCAGGTTTATAGACCACACTGGAAGGAGTAAGGCTCTAAAGTTCTTGATGCAACAAGATTTGTACTTGAGTGTGACTCCTGGTGAGAACTGCCTTGGTGTGTGTGTGTGTGTAAGGCCACCAGAGACCCAGCAGCCTTTTGGTCTCCTCCAGCCGTGAGAGACTGAGAAGTATGGGAACCTGTCAGCATCAATTGTATCTGTGTGCTTGTACCTCATTGTGGTTATTGTAGGTTGTGGTTTTGCTCTTGAACCCTCCCTTAAATATTATGCCTTTCAGATTCATGCAGCGAAATCCTTTGGGTCTCTATAGGGTGCACACTGTGTAAATCAGCATTTCTGAAAAGATGGGAGGGTGTCTGAAAGGGTGTTTTTATTTCTAAGAGCAGGCTGTGTCAGCGGGGCTCACGTGGCACTTGTAGTGGGGTGTTGAGAAGAGAGATCATATTGAAAGCTACGAACTGACTGCAGAAACCTTAGAGCTAGTAGAGCGAGGGTGTGAGGGGAACGGGAAGGCAGGGCTCAGGGCACCACTGTGAAAGGGGAGTCTGGAGTCCAAGCAGTGAATTGGCCCCACGGTTGTGCTCTTGACATATGGGTGTCTTGTCTTAGGCTCAGCACTACCAAGCTGCTGCAGTGGACCCTTTCAAAAATCTTTAGTGTTTGTGAGCAGCTAAATCAATTCTCCACCTGAAGAGTTAACAGTTCTAGCAGGCGTTTATGGAGTACTTACAGTGTACTAGGCGTTGGGCTAAGTGCCTGGCACACGTTCTTGTAACTTAACCCTCCCTGCAGCCCGGGAGGCAGGTGCAGCCACTGTTGCATGGAGAACGAGACTGTGGTGCAGGGATGAAGGAATTCGCCCCAGGTCACACACGGAGAGTGTCAGAGTCAGGATCCAGCCTGGACTGTTGGGCCTCGAGTGGGGCTCATCCTCCTTTTAGCTTTTACCACCTGGATTATGGCTAGGATGGGATTTTACCATGAGTGGCGAGACTAGGTTGCTGATCAGTTGCAACCCAGGTTATTTCCTTCCCTCTTATCCTCCTCCAGCGTATCCCCAGATATGGCCCTTCCCTGTGGGCAACTTTAAAATGTTGCTTCTGTAGCTCTTTGGCCCCTTGACTTAAGGGAGGAACTTGGACAATGTGGGGCAGAAACGAATAAGGAAGAGAGAGTGCGTGTTCATTCTGGAGGCGGATTTCTTGCTCTGCCTCTGTGGGAGCAGTTCTCTGGGTGACTGATTTTGTTGGTGGTCTGGAGTTCCAGTGGTATGACCTAGTCCTCGATGGCTCACAGCTGGGAGGGAGGAGGCGAGGGGTGAGGGGCCGATTCAGTGTGTTCTGAAAACCATTTTCTGTCCACTGTGTGGGATTTCTGTATCAAAGACAACCTTCAAATGACCTCGCTCTGCTCAGGGTTATTTTGTCTATTCTGTATCAGATATAGAGTTCTAGCACCTTCTGGGTTTTATGTTTTCCATTAGGCTTCTCAATTTCGGTTTCATGTATGTGCTCAGTTCTGGGTTGGGCTAAGCCACTTACCACATACAGAATTAAGTCGAACCCATTTAGCCAGGCTTCTATGACTAGGTACGCACTCCAATTCTTACATGTTAGTCAATGGCAGACAGGAGCTGTGCTATTACTCTTGTATTGCAAACTCTGTTACTAAATCCATGCCTATATCTCCCTCCTGGAATGTTGCGATGCCCATCCAGTGATGGGTTGGAATCAGATCTCAAAGGTGTCTCTTTCTTGCTGCTTTAGACTCTGCGGGTTAAAGCTGTTTTTCCTTCCAAAGTCAAGGCTTCAGAACTAGTGGGAGTTGGGTTTAACTCCCAGCCGTGTAGTGTGATGACATTATGCCTTTGTGCATTTACCTGGGCCTCAGTTTCTCATAGAGGCACCAATGACTAGTAACCTCTATGCTCTGGGCCTGTTTGCTCAAGCAAAAGGAGGGAGATGATTTTTACTCCATGGGGTTGTTTTAGATATATGCTATTAGACTACTGCATTCTTATCCTGGCCATTCATCCTCCAAGGACTGAGAAGTGTCCCCTTCCACTTATGTCTGGCTGTTCCCTTTACTGGAGCACTTTCCCATTCAAAAAGCCAACTTCTTTGTCTTTAGACACTGAACCCCTTGAGGGCAGGGATTCTGCTTCATCCGTCCTGGTATCCCAGGGCACAATGCTGGACCTTGGGCTGAATGGACATTTGTTAAATAAACCCAAGAAAGGAACATCTTCCTTCCATTATGCTTACTAAAGCCAACCTAGCTGAAGAGCGATGACTGCTTGCTGCTGCTGAATCCTTGAGCAAGCCCTAGGCAGAGTAACGGTGGTCAAATTGGTCTGCTGCAGTTACGTGCCTGCAGGCATGACGAAAATAGACGGTAGGTGTTTCCTTGCCTTTGGTGGACTTCGCGAGTAAAGACATCTTGGGGTCTTCAGTTATTTGGGATAATTGGAGAGAGCATATGGGGTGAAGATGTTGGATGAGTATCTAAAAAAAAAAGTTCTTTCCTCTCGCACAGGTTGTTTGTATTTCTTTAAAATGTCTTCTTTACAAAATTATGAAAATAACTTACAACCTGCTTATTTTTTTTAAAAAGACAAAGAAAGAAAAAGGCTTATAAAAAGAGAAAGCAGCTTTCCTCATAATGGTGTCATCACACTGGTAGCCCCAGTCCAGCCTTCTGGGCCTGTGCTGCCTGCCTTTGGGTTGCCAGACTTGGGACTGTCCCTTCTTATTGTGGGCTGCTCTTTTCTTCTTTTTCTGTGTGGTTTTTTTTTTTTTTTTAATCACTATGCAGTATAGATTTTAGCTTGCTGGGGACAGAGACACAAGCCCTTTTCCCTTCAGCTGCATTGCTCAGCAGTATTCATATACTTAATGTTTTGCCTTCTTTGCCTCCTGTCTCTTCCTTAAGGGAGGTTTCTCGGCCATTCTCCCCACTTCAAAAGGTCTCAAGCCCAGAGCCAGCACTGCTCACAAGGCAGGTGGAACGGGGGGCACAGAAGGATTTGCCTGCAGCCTATGGTCGAATACCTGTAGGTAACCCCATTCCAATAAACCAGGGTGTTCCAATCCATTTATTATTTTATTACTTTGTCTGAAATTATGGGTGCATAATGACATCCTATCACAACTTTCTTTAAAAAAATATTTTTTATTGATACATTGTACATATTTATGGGGAACAGAGTTATATTTCCATACATGTGTACAAAGTGTGATGATCAAACCAACCTCTCCCTATTCCCCATTCTGCTTCCCCTTCCCATCCTCTAGTAACCACAATTCTACTCTCTACTTTTATTTATTTTATTTATTTATTTTTTTGTCTTTTTGTCTTTTTCCGTGTCCGGCAACGGATCGCAACCCTCAGTGTTGCCCCCGTACCGGACCGGGGACCGGCAACGGGATTGCAACCCTCGGTGTTGCTCCCGCGCCTCGCTCAGCCAGTGAGCAGGAACCGGTCTGTATGTGGGATCCGAACCCTCGGGCGGGAGCGCCGCCATGCTTCCCAAGCGGCGCACTTATCCAGTGCGCGACCGGGCCGGCCCCGCAAGTTATTTTTTATATATATATATATATATAT